GGCATAGGAGACAATCGAGACTCCCTCTGGTGGTTGAGGGAGCTTTGAAATATAAAAGTTAAACAGTAGCGGGGAAAGGACACCACCCTGAGGAACCCCCTGTTTTATTTTTCGCTGCTTACTCGTTTTGTCTCTGAACATTACCGACGAATGTCGACCACTTAGATAATTTGCCGACCACCGTTTGAGCCTCTGTGGGAGAGAGGAGGCCTCTATATCTTCTAGTAGCGTGGAATGGCAGACGGTGTCAAACGCCTTTGACAAGTCCAACGCTACTAGAATCGTTCTCTCACAGGGACGGTTACGGTTAAGGCCACGAGTTATCTGAGTGTTTATGGCGTTAAGTGCTGTTGTTGTGCTGTGCACTTTACGGAAACCATGCTGATGCTTCGCTGGGGTCAGGTGATTTGTAAAGTACGGGAGTAGCAAGGCCTCGAGTGTCTTCGCTACCGGGGAAAGGAGTGTAATCGGACGATACGAATCTCCTTTGTTTGCAGGTTTCCCCGGTTTGAGCAGTGGGACCACTCTCCCCACCTTCCAGATGTCCGGGATGATGAGAGTGGCCATTGACAAATTGAGGACCTCCGTTAGGTACGCTACCCCCGCAGGACCCAAATTTTTCAGCATCAGCATGCATATACCGTCGGGACCCATGGCTTTGGAGGCTTTCGCCTTCCCGATGGCCACCTGAACTTCACCGCAAGTGAAAGCAAGGGGGGCACAATTTGTTGGCAGTTTGTGCAGCCTTCTGGTCACTCGACGCTTGGCTTTGTCCACCGGAGGATGCAGTATGAACTGCCGGCTAAAATAGCTCGCGCATCGCTCCGGGTCCGACGAAGCATAGTCGCCGAAGGAAATTTCGACTCTGTCGTCGTGCTTCGTCGGATTAGACAATGACCTCACGGTTGACCAAAGCTTGCTCACACCAGAGGTGAAGTTGCAAGTCTTCAGATGCTCCTCCCACTTCTTCCGCTTATGTACGTTTACAAGTTGCCGAATCTCCGCGTTGAGATCCCTGATACGGGGATCTCCGGGATCGGCCTGACGAAGGCTATCACGCTCATTTGCTAAAACAGCCGCTTCGGCAGGGAAGTTTGGACGTGGGTCCGATATGCACCCTGCCGGTATGAAGCGGGCTGCAGCAGCAGTGATAGCCCTGCGGAACTTACGTTCACCGAGGTGGACGTCGGTTGGTGTGGGGAGCGATGTGAAGGTGTTTTCAGTAAACTCCGCGTAACCTTTCCAGTCAGCTTTAGAAAAGTTGACATAGGTCCGGTGTTTGGCGGAGGCAAAGTCGGTTGGTTTGTCAATCGAGATGACTATGGGTAGATGGTCTGATGCAAGAGTCAGCATAGGTCGCCACGTTATGCTGTTTATCAGACCAGCGCTGACTATTGTGATGTCTGGCGAGCTACTGCAGTTACCCATAATCCTGGTGGGTGCGTCGTCGTTCATTGTGCAGAATGTCGAATCGTCTATCTGCTCAGCCAAGTCTGTTCCCCTACGATCGTTTGACAGGCTTGAGTGCCAAAGATCGTGGTGCGCATTGAAGTCACCTACTACCATACGGTTTTCACCTCTGAGGAGCGCACCTATATCAGGGTGATATCCTGCCGGGCAGCAGGTGACAGGGGGTATGTATATATTAAATATTTCGAGCTCGACACCGCCTGACCGGATAGCAATGCCCTGACATTCTAGGGTGGTATCCCTGCGGTCGATGTCTGCTTCGATTAGACGATACTGCACGGTGTGGTGCGTGATGAACGCTAAGCCACCACCATTATCTCGCTCGCGATCTCGACGGTGCACGTTGTACCCGGCACAATTCAACAAAGTTGAATTGCTGTGCAACTTCGTCTCTTGGACCGCAGCTATTAATACACCATGCCGACACATAAAGGCGGTTATCTCCTCAATCTTGCTCTGTAGCCCGTTACAGTTGAATTGTAGGAGCTTCATGTGGTTCGGGAGACGTGTTGTGATGCGGGGTGTGAGTGAGGTGTATGTTCTTGCCGCCGTTGGCTGTGTGCGCTGCTGGGGTGATTGCCTCCCTGTGGTGGTAGTGGGGGGCGTCGCAATTGACGTCAGCGACCGAGCAGCGCAGCACGGGCCCTCGAAGTTCCCCGTCCAATCTCGCGTGGTGCGCAGACCTGAACATGCCCTAAAGTGGCACCAGCCAAGGCAGGTGTTGCACTTGACTGATGTCACATTACGGAATATTCTGGTCTGACATACCGTGCAGATTGTAGGGGGAACCAAGAGTTGTTGGCGGCGGCGTGTGGGTGGTGGTGCGGTTGTGTGTGTTATGTGGTCTGTGGTGTGTTGTTGTGTTGTGGCGACTGTGTGTGGTTGCTGTGTGAGTGTGTGGGGCTGCACGGGCGGACTATGAGTTGCCGTGGAGGCTGCTCTGTTTGAGCAACAGGGGGCCACGTACGACGTGGTCCACTGTCTATGTGTCCGTAGTCCCGAGCAGACCCTGAGGTGACTCCACCCCTCGCAGGCATTACACTTGACTGAGGTGGAGTTGTGGTGTAAACGTCTCCGACATACACAGCAGGTGTATATTTCTGGCCCAGGGTTTGACTCGATGCCAGCCCTGAGTAGGAGAATGCGTAGTGAATGTTGCCCTATGGACGGACAACTTCTGAGATACTTCGCCGACCTAAACGGGGTTAGATCGCCGAAACAACAGCCCTTGGTCGGGTGAAACCCGAGTCATTCCGGTACGTAGAACCGGCTGTCGTGGGAATTTGTTTGCTTCTCGAAGCATTGATCCATCCTTTGCAAGGCCCAGTAATCAGCGGTCGTGCTGCCGAGTTAGGCGAACGTTCCAAAAGCTGCTATTCAATCGCTTGTTTTGTATGGGAAAAGGTTTCAATTAGCAATTCAGAATTTTTGTGAGAAAAAATTAAAAATATTTGACATTTTCGAGACCAATAATTTGAAAATAAATCAAATCAGCTGCTCTACTGATACTACCTGTTCAATGTACCTTGATACCACCTTATATAAATTCGCCTTGGAATTATGTATGTATGTGGAAGTCTGTCGGTTTGTTATTTCTACGTAAAAATGACATTCTATGCAGTGCAGTACAAAGTATGCATAACTGAGCTATAACGCAAAGGCGTCAGAAAACGCTCTTGTTTAGGTATGTCGGCAGATCGCCAAATTTATATTTCACATCGCCCAATACTTATATTTAAAAAGAAATGATACACCTTAGATACCAGAAGCAACAAAATACATCTAAATGCATGGTGTAACTATGCCATCACCTAAATGTTGTTTAATAGTCTTGATTTTGCCTAAAAAAAATGAGAGAATTTAAAAACTTCAAATGTGCGTACATCAAACTGGCTGGCACACTATATATTATAGCAATTTGATCGTTGTGAAGCAGAAACAAATGGTTCCACAATGTTGATACACACCAAAGATTATAGGCTGGTTTCTCCAACTCAACTTAGTTAAGCCAATTATCTTGACTTAGTCAAGAATAAGCTGTGTAAAACGCAGGGAAAATTTTAGAATGGTAACCCCCCCCGAGTACGGAATTAAGGAAAATAGGGTGGGTAGAGGGGGTTCTAAAGGGGGTATATGTAAAGTTTTAAAGCGCGGAACCTTATAGTTTTTAAGTAATTTGTTATTAAAGTTACTAATTTTCACCAACTTGTATGGGACTATTTTACAATATATAATCATGAACGAAAGACACAAGATCACGTAAGAACAAGAGAGTGAAAAAAGTCGATTTTTTTAGCGGGTTCTACGCCATCTTGTTTCACTGGAAAACAAGCGAAAAGTAAACAAAGCAAAGAAAACGAAAACCAAAGTTAGCCAAAATTATTGTCAGCCACTTTAAGCGCACAATTTAGGTAAAATGATGCAATAAAATGCTTGAAAATGTGTTGTCATGTTGAATTAACTCATCTTTACTTAAATAAAAGTGTAAAATAGTGGTGCCTGTGATGTAAACAAACGCTCAGCTGACGAACCCGCTTTCGCAAACTTTTTTCTCAAAACCAGTTACAAATACAACGTCGCGTTCTTACGTGATCTTGTATTTTTGGTTCATGATATATAATGCACTTTCCACAAAATTTACACGTTATTTACACTCAATATATGCGCAGAAAGAGTGTGCACGTTCAAACAAATAAATACTTTAAGTATATAACAGCTTTTTTATCAAAAATTGATTGTTATTTAATTTTATGCGAGTACATGCAGAATATGTGCAAATGGCAGCAGGACTGTGTTGCCATATCTAAAAAACCAAGAGTGGAAAGCAAGACCAAAAGAAAATACGATAAGGTTATTTTGTTCAGATTAAAATAAATAGTAGGGGGATCAGGGGCTGAACACCTTTCTGCGTAGGCGGCCTTCGGCCGCGCTTAGGAATTATA